GGCATATATGTGTTCATCGATTCTGTGCTTTACTTTATATACGGTTCCAAAACCTCCGGAACCGATGGCCGACAACTCAATGAACAGACTTTTGTAATGATTTTCATGCGAATTATGTCCCAATTTTGTTACAACTATTTTGTGAATAAAATATATTAATTATAACAAATACAACAAGCAATCATATTATTTATTTCAAATAAAAACAAATAATAAAATACCTTCATTTGTATTAATATTATATTGTTTTGGTTTAATATTTGGCGTTTTATTTATTTTCATTACAGAGGGATTTGTGACCATGTTCATATTTATATGCAGTGTATTATAACTTAGTTGCCATTCAGTTGCATAAAAATCTATAACATTTTTATATTTAGATTTTTGCACTTCTGTTGGCGATATGAGTTCCCAAATGGTGTCATCAGCTTGTATTAATACGTTATTTCGATTAATAAATGAATGCATTTCATCAATCTGTTGAACGTTTAATTTCATTAAAATTGGTCTGTGTAGTATTTCTATTTGGAATTGTTTCATATCATTAGTATATTTGCCACAAAAATAAATTATATTACTATTGGATAGAAAATATGTGAAATTATCTGTGGAACAAATAGATTTGATATCATTTAACTGTGGAATCAATTTGGGGATAAAAATGTCTTCTGGTGTTTGGTGTCCACATTCATGGTCACGATTATAACCCCAACTAAATACCAAACCATTTAAAGTAATTGTGAATGAACTCCAGGAACCACAAAATATATTTTTCATCTTATAATTGTTTTCAAATTGTATCAAAACTGGTGAACACATTATATCATTTTCAAAGTACCCACATCCTATTTGTCCACAGGCATTGTCGCCCCACCCGTACACCTTTCCATCGGTCGTGAGCGCCAGGGAATGCAAAGCACCACAACAAATATATGCGATATTCTTGTCATTTAATTGTAATATTATTTGTGGTTTTAAATAAACCCCAAATGGTGTCACATTTCTAGCACACTGTCCCATATAATTGTGTCCCCAACTGAACACATGGTTGTCCTCATTCATAGCCAACACGAAGCTGGATCCATTGATAAACTGTTGGATCCGTTGTCCACACAATTCCTGTATAATTAGTGGTGTTTTTACAGCCATGTCATGACCAAAACCCAGACTTCCTATACCATTACCACCCAACCCATAGACGGTGTCATTGTTTGTGACAAATAGTATATTCTTTGTCCAATTCCCGTCATCGAAAACATGAAATAATTTGATTTCCTGTTTAATATTCGTATCAATCGTATCGCAAATACGAAAATTATCCAAAAGTGTAGACATTTTTTACACAAATTACAAAAAAATAAGTTTTAATATGAATTTCAAGAATTAAATACCCATACAAACATTAAATTAAAAATTTTTAATTTTTTTAATCGACAATAACTCAAAATGTCGATCAATTGTGTTATGGTATGTTTGGTGTTGTTATCGAAAATGTGATAAACTTTATACGATTCCATAGAAATGATACGATATCATGAGTTTATGATATACCTTAAGCTCACATAAAAACAAAGTTATTCTTATCCAGGTACATTCATTTCTCGTGCCACCTGTTAATGTTAATCACTAATATAATTTATATTTTAATAATGTGTATTATGGCGGTAATTTGAATAGTATCTATTAACTTTGAATGTTTTCAAATTTACATAAATTACTTAAATTTGTGAACATTTTTATGGTATTTAATATCTATTGATAACAATGCTGAGTGTATTCATTTGATAATGGTTGTAGCACTATTCTGATTCAAATGTACTAAGATTACAATATTTTATTTATTAATCATAATTGTAACTATTTTAATTAATATAAGAATTTTTGGGAAATATTCAGGCATGATTTTGTTACGGGACTCACCCAAATGGCCTAACTGACCAATGGTCATTTCGATTAATTTAGGTTAGGATAGGTAAGGTTAGGTCAAGACACATCTATTCCACAAGTTTAATTAAAATTATGTCCACTGGTCAGTTAGTTATTTGAGTTTAGGCCTTTTGGTGTAGAACCTTGTTACATTTTGGTGCAATGTTATGTTATTTATACATTTTATGAACACTTATTTATACCCTTGAATTGAGCCGAAACAATTGGCTGTCATATTCATTCAGCACAAAATTTCCTTTATTTATCAGGAACCTATAAGTATATTTTTTCTCAATATTATAAAATATAACTAAAATTAATGAAAATAACAAACCAAGGTAAAATGTTTTATTTATAATTATGATAAATAACTATTAAACTGGTATATGATTTTTGTAAATAATAAATAGTTAATAAACATATTAATTTGGCAAGCTGAATTATAATAAATATTTGAATTATAGTACATTCATTGATGATTTATATTTGACTCAAACAGTTAAGGATAGCAAATGGTTTCGTGTAGTAATGGGGAGATAGAGGTGCAGATTAGGTGCCGCCGGGATCTCCAGTTATATACACCGAATAAGAGACGAATAATCGGACAATCAATAGATAAGTCAATATTGCCCGTTATGGGCACCTGGATTCAAATATAGTTAGAGTTTAGCATTTCAAACACAACAAAATGCATAAAAATTTTAATTAATTTCATAATTATATTAGAAATTCGAGGAATTAAATTAAAATCCGTATTTCAACCTTGCTAGAAAAGTGTCTTGGGAAAAACAAAAAGTAATTTACGATATTTTAAATTTCAATAAATATTAGATAATTTTAATTCAATTTTAATACTTTTTCCGATAATATTAGAAAACTGAAAGACCAAGCCCTTTCGCGCGGTTCGGACCAGGGTCTACAGTATCTTATTTAAGAAAAAAGTAAAATGTTTTTGGGTTTTTAAGTTTTATTAGAAAGTTTTTTATTGATCTGAAGTTCACATATTGAATGCTAAGATAGAAGAGTTTTTACAAAAGTTTTCACTGAATGACGAAAAGCCATGTGCCTTAACTTTGAACATTCTTTTATACTGTATTTTAGAAAACATATGGGGACTCGAAAGACTTAATTAATTTTAGAACTGGAAGTTAGGAATTTGTAGTACAGGTATACTGTGGAGCTGGAGTGCCGGTGGAACTGGAAGTACTCTAGTTATCCTCCATTCCGTTGGCGCTGGGGTCGCCGTATACTAAGTGTAAAGACATAGTCTTTCAAAACGTTATTAATACTTTGTATAAAATTTAAAAAAGAATTTTTTATTACCGGCAATTAATTAAATTAAATTAATATCTTTTGAATTAAGTTAAAATTAATTTATATCGTAATTAAATTCAGTACCATTTTATTATATACTTATAAAATTAATATTTTAAAACACATTTGGATTTGTGGTGATTATACTAGAAGTTGAAGTCATTATACTTTAACTTGATAACATTCACTATCAAAAATGAAGTTTTGCTTGATCATTTCAATGATCATGGTTAGCGAATTATATTGTGCTTACAATCATTTATTTATTTTACAATTATTATTAAGGTTTAAATTAATTTTGTAAATTTATAATAATTATTAATAATAATTAATTATTAATTAATAATAGTCTAATTATTATAAATATCTAGTTATTTACATATTATTAAAACATTACTTTTTGTGAACATAAGTTATAACAAGTTGTAAGTTTTATTTATTAACGTCTTTAAATATACAACCAAGAACAACTTATTTTAACTATAAATCAAAATTGAATAAATCATATGAATTAAATGGGAATCATAGCAGTTTTGATAAACTTGATCAATTTAATATTCATTTATTATAAGCTTCAACTAATTATATCATATATACTGTACAATTAGGCAGAGGACAGGGAGGTCAATGTGCATAATGTACCACATACACAATAATATATTTGCAGCACATACTCTCGTTATAGTTACGCTATAACTGTACAAATGCTTGAACTGTAAAACTTTACAAAACTTTTTAGGCAATGCATTGAATTGTTGACTGAATATAAGTGAATGAACGGAAAGTTAGATAATATTAGAGTCCATACGGAAAAGGCAACACATTTGTGCCAAAAAATAATTACTTTTTATGTTAAGTTTGAATGTAAGACTCAAATAAAACTAATTAAAGTGAGACAAAAGGTGTGTAAAAAGTTGTGCCAAATTTGTGCCAGGTTTGCGACAATCGATAGGTATTAGTAGACAGACATGTCTTGTCGGGCCTCAAGAAGCTATTGAATAATGCAAATCAGTTTGTGGTGGAGAAGATGGGGGCGGCGGAGGGCACCCGACCTTCCGATCAGTTCCTCGTAAATGCAACGAAAGACTGATTTGACGGATGCGGTGGTCGCAACATGATCGCCAAAACCCGGGAATGTCTGCACCCAAACCCCACCCTCAGGGCTAAAGTTGTGGTCAATAACAAGATAATGGGCACCAAATGGGAGAGGTATGAGCACTCGGAGCTCGATTTGGTCGACTATGCCCAAATACGGTAACCAAATGGGGAAGTCGTTGCGTTTCTGTCAGTTTGGTAGACGTGGGAAAGACACTGAAATAGTTGACACAAATCAAGTACTCACTCGAAGACGACGTGAAACACAACTTTTTGGATCCGCTAAGTCGTTTGCAGAGCGCAGACCTTCGGGAGTGTATGAATTCGCGGCGCAAACTGGAGGGTCGGCGACTCGACTACGACTGCACGAAACGCAAGAAGTCTAAGTGATGTCATGTCGCGGACACTGACATGAAGTCGTCGGAGAATAAGTACAACGAGTCGTATAAATTAGCATCACTTGCGATGAAGAACCTGTTGAACACCGAAGATCACATGCAAAACTTGTCAGCCATCTCGCTGGCCCTCTAGGACTACCACAAAAACTGCGCGAATGTCTTGAGAAGTCTTACGACGAGATTGAAGGGAAGGACTGAACCGAAGAGTGCCGTGGAAGTGGTGACTGATGTCTGGGCGACGACTTTCAATAATGCGGTCAACCGATGTGGTCGTACAACACAACGGTGTGATGGGTCTCATGAAACTTAACGGTCATATCAACCATAAGGTCAACACTAGACATTTTCGACAAAAGTCAATACATTGCAACGAAAAATGAGAATCAGTTGAGGAATATATCGCAAAACATCACAGCAACCATTAAGAAAGGAGAAGCCAAAGTGTCGCGCGTTATATAATTTTGAGTCCAAAAGTAGTGATGAATTGTCTCTCAAAGAAGATGTGATTGAATTGAAGAAACGAATGGATAATAATTGCGATAAATGCGATGTCTAATAAAAATTGGACACAAAAATAGGTCAGTTTAGAAATTATTCTGTAAATTTCTTATTCTTGAGGTGTTCAACATGACGGCCGCCTGTTTCGATAGCAAGTTTAAGTCTATTGACAAATGATTTGCGAGTATTTGATAACATTTCCGGTGTTATTAAATCAAAAGCTCTTTTGATTGAGTGCTTCAATTCGTCCATATCTTTGTTCGTCACTTTATAAACTTCATCTAAAATTAAATCAGTTACGGTTCCTTAGATGTTGTATTTTAAGTTAAGTAATAAACTTATACATACTTTCAACGAAACCCCAAACAAAAAAATCGAGTGAATTGAAGTCTGGAGAGCGCGCAAGCCAGCTCCATAATGGACTCCCTCTCCCAATCCATCTCATAGGGAAGTGCATATTAAGCCAATGCCTTGTTTCCACGGCGTAATGACTACTGGCACCTATTTAATAAACAATTATGTTAAGGTCTTCATTATATCCAACTAATCCGTATAAATAATTTCATACCGTCTAGAGTAAAAATCATGTCATTAAAATTTGGCATCGCTTTAAGAACTGGCAAAACCTAAATATATTTAATATATTAATACATCAACTAAATATCGATCAGTTACAAACCTCTTCATTCATTATTTTTAGGAATGAAGACGACTTCACTGTGTTCTCAAAATAGAAGGGACCAATTATATGATCGCCACATATTCCGGCCCACACCATTACTCTGGGTCCACTCATTGTCTTATTGGCACCAATCCAATGAGGGTTTTCGGCAGCATACCAGCGATTGTTTTGTCGATTAAAGCACCCATTGAGATGAAACAATTTTTCATCGCAAATCATTATGGATGTAAGAAAATTTGGGTTAATTTGGGTCTGTTCTAATCCCCATTGCGCAAATTCAAATCGTTTTTTGAAATCTGGTTCTAAAAGTAAATTAAAATATCAGTTACAATTCCTTAGATGTTGAAAAATATTTAAAAATACCTTGCAAAACTTGGACATTTCATTTTGTATGGCAAGTGTTTGTTCTGTTTTAGGATTGTTTTTACAGAACTTTTACTTATTCCACACTTTGAGGCAACAATTCTCGGGGATTGAATTGGTTGTATAACATACTCTCCCAATACAACAGATGCGATCTCATTATTTATGGCCGGTTTCTCACAAACCCTCTTAGGATATTTGACACCACCTGTGATAAATTTAAGGATTAGTTAATCTTCTCTGTATCGTTCCAACAATATTGTTAAATGCCTGAATTTAACCACAATTCGTAAATCCTTTGAAATGTTTTGTGAGTTGGATGTCGAGTCCACTCTGGAAATGTGTCTTTGATTGCTTTTGCAGCCGAATTCCAAGACGAACAAGTATTCGCAATGTTAACGATTTGAATCTTTTCATTCAATGAATAGTATTTTGTTTTATTAATTGCTTTTGTTTGGCATTCATTCATCTCATTGTCTTCGTTGTAATCATTGAATTCGACCGCAAGTTCGTCATTGGGTTCATCGCTCACGTCATTAATATTATCGTCGTCTGAGTCGCAAACTTTTGTACACACAGTTGTTAGACGTCTAATCCTGTGATAATAAACAATGTAACTAAACAATGCACACAAATAACTTCACAAATATCATTGATTACATAGCACAATTAGCACATGAGTGGACATACCTTTGCAAGTCTTGGTCCATATCGGGCTGTTGTGCTTTCAATGCCTCCCAGAGGGTCACCTGATCCGTGTTGTGCTGAACGATGACACTGTTATGCTGTCCACCGGCCGACCGGTTTGTCAACGCGTTAGGCGAATGGCTCAAAGACATCAACATATTGGCCGCCCCTGCGGTGTCGAACTGACCGCTCGCCTGATTGGCTGTGGACTAAGGCAAACGATGAGATTCACCGGACATTGAGTTCATTATGTGATTGGATTCGCGCGACGCCTCCAAACCCCTCAGTCGTCCGACCGTTGGGTTCAATGGCGATAGTTTGGCCGACGACTGGTTGTACGCAATGGCAGAGATGTTGTGCTGTTGAGGCATGGATTTCATCGACTGGTGACGCGAACAGAAAAAAAGTTTTTTTGCTTCATTTGTACAGTTATTTTGAGCACAGAGTCGTTGCCATCGCTTCCCATTAAACTTCTTTCGGATCCCATTCGTTGTCATGATATCTCCCATTTTATACTTTTTATTTTCTTGGTCTGCACTCCATGGCTGCTCTCGAAGACGGAGATGAGGTCTTGAGAGCCATTCGCAGGCGTTGTCGGCGCCGAACCGGATCTGATAGACCGTCTTCTGGGCGATGTTATTGCCGTTACTGTTGTCGACCGATATCTCGGCTACCGTTCCCTTCATGAAGCCGTTCAGGCATTTGGCGATCACATCCAGACCCACTGTGATCTGCGTGGGCAATGGGCAACAGTCGGCCACCAGATCCGTGGACCCACTCGAGTAGTATTGGACGCGATTCGTGCAGTCGAACAGCACACCAATACCCTTACGGCGGTCGCAGTCGTCGATCACTCCCTTCTCGTACAAACCTCTCTCCGTTTTGGCCAAAACTCTGTGTCCGATCCATTCGCTTAAGTCGTTGTCGGGGTAACTGTTGGACCCGTTTCTGGTGATCGCCAACTGGTTGGCCGACTTCGTGATGGCATTCAATTGGTTACTCGTATTTTGATTGTTATTATTGCCATTAATGAAAGCGTGGCTTAAATCGGTGGCAAACTTTCGCTTTTTAGGCAATTTCTTGGGCTCCGATGCCATCGACGACACACTCAGTGACGTCTGGTTCGGATCAGTCATCGCGTGATTCGTGTCAAGCATTGCGCGACTTTGTGGATCAGATGACAAGACATTTGTATAACTTGTTGACGGATTAGATGGCAAACACTGATCACTAATGGATGGCATCTCATGTGAACTCATTATAACTGTTGCCACAAAGCAATTGAAACAAAAGTTTGTTTAAATGAATGCATCATATAATGAGTGAATGTATTAACTCGTATTGAGTGTCAAACTTACCAATAAAGTGGTCAAAAGTGGCAAATAATTGGTGATTACATTTGGTTTGAAGTCACAATCAAAGGGAAAGGCATGTCTGTTGTATTTTGCATTCAATTCAATGCATTGCCTAAAAAGTTTTGTAAAGTTTTACAGTTCAAGCATTTGTACAGTTATAGCGTAACTATAACGAGAGTATGTGCTGCAAAGCTCACAACACATTGCAGAATTCAGTGTAGATGTAGTTCACGAATTGATCGTCCCGGCTTACCTTCACTGTATGTATAACTTAACATGCGCTTATATAGTAGTTGGTTGTGAGGGTGCATAATAATTAATTGCTTCATATTAGAATAAAATATCAAAATAGTATATTATAAGACAGTATGATTTAAAATATTATATAAATCATAGATAAATTAATGATCCCGGTCCCTTAATTATAACATTATTTTGTATAAACACTAACAATTTTGTGACATAAGTTAGCACATAAA